AAGTTCGGCTTAGGGTTTAGGGTTTAGGGCTTAGGGTTTAGGGTTTAGGGTATAGGGTTTAGGGTTTAGGGTTTAGGGTTTAGGGCCCTCTTCGCCTTCCAAGCTGGCCAGTAGAAAGTTGCCAAGAATGCGAATATCGCCGACGATGGCCTGAGATGCCCCATCGACCCAACAACAATGGTAACCCCATAAAGTCCAAGAGTTTGGGGGGTTGCTCTTTTGTTTTTATCACCTCCTTCCCCTAAACCCTAAACCCTAAACCCTAAACCCTAAACCTAAACCCTAAAGCACAGACATGGGAGCCTGGAAAGCCAGAGGGGGATTCAACCACCTACACCACAGCAACATAGGGTCTAGGGTTTAGCGGCAGGATCGAGGGTTGAAGCTCTACTTGGTCCTTTTGAAATTAGGGCCCCTTTCTAGGTCCCAGAAACAGTACGGCACCCTCATATACCTTGCTGCAAAAAAAATGATCCCAAAAAAGTGACCCTAGTTTGGAGAACTACCCATGTGTTCATGAAGCGTAGAATGCTCTTCGAAGGGAGCCAAGCATCATTCGCAAAGCCGGCCAAAGACGTGACTTGGGATTGGATCACCTGAAAGGCTTAAACTTTATTAGAGTTCAAAGATCAGAGCTTCGAGTTTCAGGCTAAAGGTTAAGGGTACAAGGTTTAGGGTTTAGGGTTTTGGGGTTTGGTGTTTAGGGTTAAGGGTTCAAGGCTTAGGGTTTAGGGCTTTGGGGTCTGGGCTTCGGGTTTAGAACTCACGTTTGAAAGGGCTGTGAGTGTACGAATTCCAGAATCTTTTCTAGGGTTCCCACCAACTCACCTTAAACCCCTAAACGCTAAACCCTAAACCCTAAACCCAAAACCCTAAACCCTACACAATGTTGGGATATCAGAGGTGGGCCTCTGGGCCCTGTCCAGGATGCCACAGCGGCTTTCAGAAGGGGGAGATTTGCGTTGTTCAGAACCCCAAAGGTTTAGAGTTTAGGGTTCAGGGTTCGGGGTTCTAGGGTTAACCCCAAAGGTTTAGAGTTTAGGGTTCAGGGTTCGGGGTCTAGCGTTTAAGCTTCAGTTTGGGTTTAGCGCGAAGGGTCCGGATAGTCCGGCTGGATGGCTCCATTCCAATGATCGGTGGGGCGAAGCAAACAGACCTGAAACTAACCATCCTTTTTGAATCCGGCGTAGGGTTTTGGGTTTAGGCTTCGGGTTGAGGGTCGAGGATAACCTGTAAACCCTAAACCCTAAACCCTAAACCCTAAACCGTGTAAACCTCACACCACACAGCTGGACCTTGAAGTCCAAACCGTCAAGCGGAGGAACCCTTTACTTAGAGGGTTTGGGGTTTAGGGTTTAGGGTTTAGGGTTTAGGGTTTAGGGTTTAGGGTTTAGGGTTTGGCGGTTTAGGGTTTTTTTTTTTTAAAGTGCAATAGCGCCCTTTCTCCGCACAGCAGGTCTCGGGTGCTCACTCATCGCTGAGCTTGCACTGAATCGTGTAGAAGAGGCCGAGCGGGAAACTCACCAGAGCTAGCTAGTTCAAGTCACCCTCGTCAGATTCCACATCCCGACCTCCTCCGTGAGAGCAAGACGACGATGAGGAACTTCGCATTCTCCCACCAGACGCAGTAGCCCCGTCCATGTCGAAGTCCTCGTCCAGTGTAGGCAGAAGACTAGGAGCTGGCCGAAGACGCTGTTGACGACGCCGATCCGCCACACCATGTTGTTCTCGTGTACGCAGCGGTTGATCTGGAAGTGGTACCGAGACAGGATGATTGGGTACCGGCACGGAGGGGTCAGTCTGCAACAGGTACAAGTCAAGGTCACCTGGCTCACGACTGGCACGAAGAGTGTCCGAGGGTGTCATCACAAGCTCACCCTCAGCGATCAGCTGGGCTACATGAACCCGCCAAGCCCTGCGCCGCATGCCAGAAATCCTCGCCAAGGAGAAGGTTGGCAGCGACCTTCTCACCCCCAGCGCGTCAGGGAATCCTGGTTCAAGCAGAACTGCTGGAGCATGAACCTGTTGACTGTGTGCAGTGCTGGACACCCCAGACCCGAAACTCGCTTCATGCGCTATGACTGACCAGATATTAGCCTCCATGGTGGCAGCATTGTACGTCTCGGCAGTCTGAGGGACTTGCAGGAAGGTCAGGGCCTCCTCCATGGCGACGCCCAGAAGCCTCTGACAGTGTGCCAAGGCCCGCTGTCTGTCCAAAAGGCGGCGCAGGGTGTCCTGCACATCCCCCACCGTGCCCTGCGTCATCTCACGACCCACTGCATCCCGCACAACATCGGCCGGGTCATTGGCCACCACCGAGGTAGTTGTAGTAGTGCACCACCCCGAGGCCGTGGATGTAGAGCAGGACAGTGAAGAGCCCGACGTTGACGTTGCGCAGGATGACGTAGTTCTTGTCCAGGTTGATGGCTTACACAACCGTGTTGGCATACACAGAGGGCTCTCCAAGCACGAGGTCCCGGTCGAAGCCAGCCACAGGGTCTCACTCAGAGGTACCACATTACTGCATTCCTGACTTACATCCCCCATTGTTGTCATACTTGTCGTCGTAGTTGTGGGCCACTGTGACGTCACCCCAAGCTGAAGAAGCCAAAAGGTGCCCTCTCCTTCCCCCCAGAGATCGTCCGTCTCCAAAGCCAGCCAAGTACTGGTGGTCATGGTACTGGTCGTCGTAGTGCGGCGCGAGGAGCTGGTTGAGGAGGATGAGGCTTCTTCTGGCGACAGTTCTGGCTCACACCAGATGCCCTGGGGCTCCAGGCTAATTGTACCCCCAACATGGGGTGGAGGAACATTGACAGGCTGCGGCGGAGGAGGGCCATATGGTCCATCAGTGGGACTCCTAGGTTCCACCGCCACGAGTTCTCCGTCTGAGTTGTAGGCGATGTCGCTCCTTGCCACAGAGTACCCAGAGTGGTCCGACCATGGGCTTCTTGAACAGCTTCTGGATCGCGGTGGCTGTGGTCGATTAGGGGGCCCTGACGATGAGGATGGTTCCGAGGCACGCGAGGAGGGTTCCACGGGTCGCCTGGCGACTGGAGTTGCCGCCTCATTGTGCTGCTCAACTGTCTGGGGGAACTCACTGCTTTGTAGCGGCACATCAACATTATGCGTCAGTGTCTCCGTGAACATGGTTCCATACTGACGAACCCAAGAGAACAATCTCCAAGCTACCATTTGCTCACGGGGGAACCTTTGCACAGGGAGGAATCCCCTTGGAACCAGTCTTCTAGCCAGGATCCCCAGCAGGGCTTGCAGGGCTTCCATTGCTTCTTCTCCTCTCTGCACAAGTCGGCCGACTGCCCACCTTGCTTCCGGTCCTGTGCCTCCAGTTTCGTGGTCGTCCGGGGCCTGCAAGAGGGACTCCATGCGGTTGATGACGGTGGTGGGAACTCCCTCTTCTTGTAAAGTCGCCCTCTCTGCTCCCGTGAGCTGCATGAGCCATACCTCTTCGACGTTGGTCACCTCTCGAACTTCCGGAAAAAGTCCTGCATTGGGAAGCAGCACCACGGTGGAGGACGATGTTGTGATAGAGGCCTGGCTCTCATCCGGGACCAAGCCAGGCCACCAGGACGTAGAGCAGGTAGTTGCAACGTCATTCTCATCCTCTTCCCAAGATGTGGTAAGGCCGGGCGACCATGTAGAAGAGCAAGCTGCTGAATCTCCCTGTTGTCCATCCACAGGCCACGCTCCTGCAGCTGTGGTGTTTTGTTGCCCCCTCCACGCGTCCCAGGTCGACTGCTCCCAGGTTGCTGAAGACGATGAGCTCCACGCTGTCGTTGAAGACCACCAACTGTAGTTCCACCACCCGTCCCATTGGGTACCATTGTCATAGTCCTGGTGCGTGGCTGCCTGTGACGTGGTTGGCTCGTCCTCCATGGGTCTGGCCACAGCCGTGGCTTCTTCCCCAGTGGATGTTGAGGCTGCTTGTCTGGCCTCTCTGTCGACAATGTAGCGCTGTAGCCATGCCGGTTTCCAACGTCCTTCAAAGTAGTCGCGAGCACGTTGTTGCTTCCTGGCTGTTCTCTGTGGTCCTGCTCCTCCAGCATGTCGGCGAAGTTCCACTGGGCTTCGGACTCGGTCTTGCCAAACACCATGCTGCCAAAACCCCACACTTGTGGGTGCGGTCGTCGAAGACGTGTTAGATTCATCCGCCACTTCACCTTGGTTGACCTCACCCGCGGTCGTCGATTCATCCACCACTGTGCCCGGAGATGCAGTTGAACAGCGAACAGCAAACGTCTCCCCATAGAAGGTGGTCCCTGCCACACACGTCTCACCATGGTGCTCCGTCATGCCATGTAGATGGAAAGGCTGCATCCCGTTGTCGTCCTCAACTTCACCCTCCGTTTCGGCAGCTTCTTGCGCTCGTCGTTCCTGGAGGCGGTTCTTGATGCTCCCATCTGGATGATGCCAGCGATCTCTGCCTGCTCGAGTTTTCCCTCCTCTCTGTGTAATCCCAGGCTGCTCCTGGTTGTCGCTGGAGGAGGACGAAAGGCCCTCCTGCATTGGAAAGTCACCCCGTGGGCGGCATGTTTCATGTTCAGCACTTCCGCGAGGAGCTCGTCCAGGTAGTACAAGGAGAGACATAGGATCACGCGGCTGCAGAACCATGGGAGGGGTTTGCGGCGCAATACCACGGAGAGGTCTTCCATCCCATAGTTGCACAGGGAGGCCAGTGTTTGCCACTGTGTTCTGGCAGGAGGAAGCCGCCGATGGGAAGGGCATTGGAAGGTCCTCTGGAATAGGCGCAAGGCCACCCAGGTGCGTGGCGTTGCTTTCGGCTGTGACTTCCTCGACAAGTAAGTCTTCCTGCATGGCAAGGCATATTTCTTCGTCCCAACGAGTTGCCATATAGACCTGATGTTCAGGACTTTGTGGGGAGTGGCCCGCGGACTCGCTCCACACTGGTCTGCTCGACGAAGAAGACAGTGTACTTGATGCCGGAGGCGGGCTTGTCGAGCTTCGGCCGGGTGTCCAGGATGTCCATGATGAGTTCCCCGTAGCGGCCGCGTGCGTTGAGCAGGAGGTCGGTGTCCATGAAGGAGGGGCCTGTTGATCCTCCGAGCACAAAGGTGGTGCCTCTGAAGAAGACGGGGGGTCCATCACCGGTGAGGTGCTAGAGGAAGCCGGAGTGGTCATAGGCGGAAATTCAACATCTTCACCCCAGGCGGCCGCGTGGTAGGCTGCAACTGTGGCATTTGACCAAGGCCGTAGACGAGGATCATCTTGAACATGCGGAGGTGGGGGTCCAGCAAGGAGCAACCACGGCAGCCCCAGCAGGAGGGTATGGAGGAAGGCCATGGCGAGGGCGAGAATAGCGAAGTTTTCCGTCTCAGTCCTCGAGCCAAGATCAACTGACAGACGAAGAGAGACATTCACAGCCAAGAAGAGTCTCATTGAGTATCCTCAGGCACATCAAGCAACAAAGATTGATCAAGTTCACATCTGAAAGTTCACGTGTTCCAAGAAGCCAAGCCCTTGTAGTAAAACATCTTGTTGGATTAATCAGCTCACCCGCAAGAAGAGCAAGCTTCACCCCATCCTGTCAAGACATTTCACCACCGAAGAGCAAGTTGAC